CGTCCGATGGGTTTTCCAGCCTCAGCCTTTGTCCAGGGTCAGGTGAGTGCCAGTACTGCAGGAACACCTGGGGGTGGAGCCCCACCGCAGCTACAGACCACCCAGGCAGCGACTCACACAGGTAAACTATGATGTAAAGTGAGGAGACATCAGCCTGAGTCCAGGTTTAAAAACTGTTCCAGGTCCAGGAGGTTGAAATGATTTTTTGATATATTTTTATTGTTTCATTTTTTAGGTAAAAAAAAAAATGAAAATGGAAATTTAAAAAATCATTTATCATAAAGTGAAAGGAGAACCTAACCCTAACTCTCTGTTTTCCCTGCCTCTACATCAGGAGCCCAGCCTTCAGCTCCAACACCAAACTCAATGCAGAGTCCAGTCCATGTCCCACCCAGTGTCATGGCTGTGCAGAGCAGTATGGCAGGCGGACCACCTGGTACAAGTGCTGGGCCGAGCATGGGCCAGCAGCAGCCTGGCCTGCAGACCCAGATTATGGGCCTCCAGCATCAGGCCCAGCCCGTGTCTTCGTCCCCCAGCCAGATGGTTCAGGGCCAGGGTGTCGGTCAGACTGTTCTCTCAAGGCCGATGAGTCAAGGCCAGAGGGGAGGAATGACCCCACCCAAGCAAATGCTGCCTCAGCAAGGCCAGGGGGTGATGCATGGGCAGGGTCAGATGGTTGGAGGCCAAGGGCACCAGGCCATGCTCATGCAGCAGCAGCAGCAACAACAACAACAAAACTCTTTGATGGAACAAATGGTTGCCAACCAGATGCAAGGCAGTAAGCAGGCCTTTGGAGGAAAGATGTCAGCTGGAATCATCACTGGTCAAATGATGCGTGGCCCTTCTCCAAATGTCCCCGCTAATGTGCCACAGTTTCAGGGCCAGGTTGGCCCACAGCAGATGACCCCCCAACAGCAACAGCAAATGGTTCAGCTTCAACAGCACCAGTTGCAGCAGCAGCACCAGTTGCAACAGCAGCACCAACAGCAGCAGCAGCAGCAGCTGCAGCAGCAGCAGCAGCAGCAGATGAACCAACAACAGCCCCAACAGGTCACCATCCCTGGAAATCCTAACCAAACTCTAGGTATGCACGGCCAACAGATGAGACTTCCTGCCAATCACCCCCTGATTCAACAACAGCTGCAGCAGCAGCAGCAGTTCCAGCAGCGACAGCACAAGCAGGACCAAGACTC